TAGGGGGCCATGCGGCTTCAGTGCGGCAAAGGGTCAGAGAGGGTGAGCTGAGTGTCCTATCTCCGAGAGACGGCTGACTGCTGAGCTGCCGGGCTTTGTTGTCTCCTCATCCTAAGGAATCTAGAACCATGCCCGTGTGTCCCGGTCTCTCCGTTGTTGATGTTGTTGCCATTCGGTCCTAACCAATCCCAACACATAGCAACCGCAGGCGGAGGAGAAGGAAACCCTGCCGAGCCCTGCACCACAGTCGTTGTGAGGTTTGAGCCCATTGCGGCGGCCACTGTGGCCTTCCACCTCCTGATGCTCTCCCACCCCCTATAGATATACATATACGTACATATGTATATTTTCTGATCTTCCATTCTACCACGCATGAGGTTCTTTCCCAGGGACTGCTCTCTCCTGATCATGTGTCCAAAGTATCTGAGACGAAATCTTTCCATCATCCCTTCTTAGGGACACTCTGGTTCTACTTCTTCCAAGACAGATTTGTTTGTTCTACTGGCAGGCCACAATATTTTCAAAAAATGTTCAGGAATTCAGAGGTTTATGTGAAATCTCTAGATTCTCTTACATGCTGGCATTTGTGTGTGGGTCTGCGCTTGTTTGGAACATATGCTAGCAGCACACCCAAGCGGAATGCCCTGCCATCAAGTTGACTGATTCATATGAACCCTAATCGGCTGGCGGGCTCCAGCTGCTGACCCTGGTGGTCAGCAGCCCAGTGTGTAGCCCACGATGCCCCCAGGGCGCCTCAGCCTCATAGAAAAAGCAAATTCAGTGCCATCGAGTCAACCCACTCATAGTGACCCCGTAGTACAGAGACCTGCTCCTGTGGGTTTCCAAGACATCACATCTTTACAGGAGAAGACAGTCTGATCCCGGGCACATAAAACCCAATAGCAGACTGCCAACTTGCCACCTTGGTTTTGGACCCAACCTATTTTAGACTGAAAGATAGCCTCCATGAAAACTAACAACCTTTTTTTTTCCCTTCAGTCACCTTAGAAGAGACCTTTGTAAAGGCCATCAGTCTGCTGTGTCAGTTTGCATTTGCTACAACAATGCTAGATAACCAGTGCCCACAGACCATGGATGGCATACGACCATAAACACTTATTTAGCTCTTATCCCTAGGAGTCAGCTGGCTTATCTGAGGGGTCCTGCTTCCCTGCTCGTCATCCTCTTTGGAAAGAGGCTTGGCTTTCTCATGGTGATGGCAGAGGCTCAAGAGAGCCAGCCGAGTGGCACACGATGTGTTGAAGCCTCTGCTCACAGCAATGCCCACTAACACTCCATTGGCTGAAGCAAAGACGGCCAACCGCCAATTCAAGGTGCACAGAGTGCACGCCGTGCCTGGAAGAAATATTAGAGATTTGTTTTCTCAATTTGCTAAATGATATGCTTTGAAATGATATGGAATGTTCAAAAACTCAACATGGATCCAGCTAATGAAATATACCTTTGCAACTTTTAAACTATTTCAATTTCATAGTGTTTCATTAGCTGTGAACATAGTACACTGTCTGATTGCCTTTATTAACTTCCAGCCAAACACCACTCTCCCTTTCAATAGGGAGATAAGCTGGATTTCAAGTGAGCCCCATGGAAGAGGGGAGAGACTGTCCACCACTCACAGAGACTGTCCACCACTCACAGACCCAATGTGCTGATGAACAAAAGCCCTTCTTGGGTCTTTATACCCAGAGATCCACTTCTGATATCAGACATCCAACTGCTTTTAAATTCCTTATAGTTTATGCCACTTCATGAGAGACTACAAAGCTTTTTTTAACTTGGTTACTCATCTTCTATTCTTGGACTATAGAATAGAGAAGGAAGGGAAGACGGAACTGTTGCATATGCGTGGGGTACCCTAAAAAAAACAAATGTTTTTCCACCTAAAGTATGTTCTTACAAAACTACTTTATCACCTTTAAAGTACTCTCCATGACACTTCATACATTTGTCAAATCTGCAATTCCATTCTTGGAAAAAAATTTCAAATTCATCTGTTTGGATGGCTGACAGCACCTCCCTCGATTTTTTTTCTTCACCTCTTCTACATCGTCAAATTGCTATCCTTTCATGCCCCTCTTCATTCGTGGAAACAAAAATAAGTTACATGGAGAAAGGTCAGGTGAGTGAGGTCTGGCCCAAGAGAGGTGTGCTGTTTTTTGCCAAAAACTGGTGTACTGAGATGGCTGCATGAACAGGTGTATTATCGTGGTGGCAAAACCAGTGCCCCCTCTGCCACAGATCAGGCATTTTTGTCCCACACTGTTACCCAGTGTGTTAGTCTGGGTACTTTAGAGAAACAAATCCACAGAAACTCATGTATAAGAGAGAGTTTTATATAAAGGTTAAGTGCGCATCAAGAAAACAGCCAACCCAGTTGGCTACACAAGCCAACAAGTGCAACATTACCCATTAACCTATATGTCCAATACCAACCCACAAAGTCCTCCTCCATCTCACAAAACAGACGCAATGATGCCGACTGCAGGAGGAAAGCCGAGTCAGTGAATGTGTAAATATCTCAGCACTGCCAAGGGTCTCCACATGGATGCTCCAGCTCCCAGGGCTGCACTGGGGTAGGTCCATGTGGCTTCTCTTCAGGGATGTCTTGCAGAAAGTGAGCCTTGTCAATTGAAGCAGGGAACTGGCTAAGGCAGCTGCACCCTGGTCCCACCATCAGAAAGCAAGAGACCTGAGAACTCGAAAGGCGAGGCCATTTATCCCTCTGCCCTTCAATTAACCCCACATGTGTTTATTGGCCAGGTTGGCACAATAAACTAACTACCCCACCCAGTCTTTTCAGAACCTCTAAATAGAAAGCTCGATTCACAGTCTGACCTGGTGGAACGAACTCCAAACGCACTACAAGTCGACATTTTCATCTGTTCAGGAAGTTGATGGATGTCTAGAATGAGGTTTGTCATTAATCAACATTTTACCTATTTTGAAACAAGAAAATCACTCGTACACTTGAGTTTTTACCATAGCACTGTCCTTGTCAGCTGTGTTCAACAACACAACAGTTTCTGTGGCATTTTTCCCAAGCAGGAAACAACATTTCACAGCTACACTCTATTCTTTGAAATTGGCCATCACAAAAAAAAGAGGTTCAAATGAAACCTTTTTTTACCCACGTGACATCAGTGTCCTCTTGGCCAGCCCCGAGTAATTGCAGACACTCTGCATGCCTGAAACTAGGACAGGTGTTGGCAAATCATGCCCTGCTGCCAAATGTGACCCATCACCTGATGTTGTAAATAAAGCTTGATTGGAACACAATCACACCTCATCCATGGCAGAGATGAGCCGCTGGAAAGACTCACAGAGCCTACAGTATTTACTATCTGCCCATTTACTGAACGAAGGCTGACAAGCCCTGATCCAGAGCACAACAAACTGTGGCCAGTGGACTCCTACTCACGGTGAACCATGCATGTCAGAGGGGAACTGCGTTCCGTAGGGTTTTCAATGACGGGTTCTTGGTAAGTAGACCACTCCCGTTTCTTCAAAGGCCCCCCTGGGTGGGCTCATGCTGCCCGCACTTGGGTTAGCAGCCAGGCCCCTCACTGCACCACCCTGGGGCTCCAGTCCAGGGCATGGCGCTCGTGATTGGAAAGCTCGTTGAAGTCGCTCCAGATCTTACACTCGTGTTTCTCAGACAAATGAGACCTGACTTTCTGCTTGCTTCTCTTTTTCCTTCCTTTGGGCCTCGCGCTTTCTGTTCCTTGTTTTACCTGCTTTTCTTTGCTATCATTTAAGGGACCTCAAAGAAAAACATGTTGAAAAATTAATATGGTATAAACTCTATTTGAAAAAAGTATATTTCCTAGATGTTTTAAATGATAATGCCAAGGTCCCAGAGGAATTTAAATATGCATTTTGGGATTTTTTTTTTAAGATAAAAGAAAGGCAGTTACATTTTTTTCCTATATTCTGCTATTAAGAAATATGGTTTTGAAAGCTAACTGAATATTATTAAAATATTTGAACTCATGCATTTAATGTCTATTACAAATAAAAAGAATAGCTTAGCATGTTACCTTTGTGTCTGGTTTGAACATCCATATTCTAAAAAGGTTGTTTTTAGTGAAAATCTTCCAGTAAAAAGTTCCAAGACTTAAAGTGACCTAATAGATGAACTCTTAACCATTTAAATCACATTTTTATATAGGTTTAACGCTTTAAAGCCAACTGAATAAGACTGAAAAACAGTTTCTATTGCA